TCCCAAGTAGCTGGGACCACAGGCGCCTGCCACAACGCCTGGCTATTTTTTTTTGGTTGCAGCTGTCATTGTTGTTTGGCAGGCCTGGGCTGGATTTGAACCCGCCACCTTAGGTGTATGTGGCTGGCACCTTAACCACTTGAGCCACAGGCGCCAAGCCTCCAAATTCAATTTGTGCTTATTTTGACAGAAATTTATATTTTTGATTTAAAAGTTAATTTTTTCTCTAAACATTCTTACATATATTCATCTTGCATTGTTCTTCCTACATTCTTCTTATATAATTCAGTTCTCTTTTTTATTCAAAGTTCTGTACAGCATTCAGTAATTCAATTTTATTTTATTCAAAGCAGTACATTATTCTAGTATTTTTCTCTGTGGGCAAAAGGGGAAACAAGATGGCCACTAGTATCAGGCAAGACTTTGGGGAGCAATAAAATTAAGATCCCTAAAAGTTATAATTTAAAAAATAATATTATGAAACTTTTAAAGTTTATAGGTGATCCCTTAAATACTAGTAAGTTTCTGTCTTCTGGGAATTGAATAAGTTGATTTTCTTACAGAGGTGATATCTTCCTAGATAAATGAACACAATCACAGATGAAAATATTTGTCTATCCCCCAAAATACTGCAACCTCCTCCTTGAAAAAAATCACAATCATTATCAATAATAAGAAAGCAACAAAATACATTGAAGAGAAACTTTAGAACCTTAAATAACAATAATTGTGATTTGCTCATTGATAAAAATCTTTTCCTGTTGAGTTCGATGATTGCTACTTATAGATGATTGTGTTGTAAAATTGAATTTATAGGTGACTGTTTAATGAAGGAAATACAAACTTATCAAACATCTTTATAAATCATATTAGCAATTCTCTTACCTCAGACTCCCAAATAGCTGGGACTACAGGTGCCTGCCCCAGTACTCGGCTATTTTTTTGTTGTAGTTGTTGTTGTTTGGCAGATCTGGGCCGGCCCGTCCTGGTGCACGTGGCCGATGCCCCTACGACTGAGCTACAGGTGGCGAGCTCTAACTGTATTTGTGACTACAAAGGTAGAAATATCTTAAGAAGGATGCCATACATTTTTTAAAAAAATCAAGTTTTATAGCTCCATTGGTTTAGTTTGGGTTCATATTGAAGAAATTAAAAGGTAAATTGCAAAATTGGAAATGAATATAAGAAGGTTATTTTTGGATTGTTATCCTTAAATAAAGTTTACTCATAATAAACTGATTATTTTAAGGGAAGTTAATTTTATCTCTAAAAGTTTTCAAATTAGTGTTCTAAGTACAGAGGAAAAGAGAGAAACATGCAGCTGTTCCTTTTAGTGCATGAGGCCAGTGCTCTAACCATTGAACTATAGGCTCCCAGCCTGTGCCTTTTATTAGTAAATACATTTCTAAAGAGTTATGTGTAGGTTTGGCTCCTGTAGCTCAGTGGTTGGTTCAAACCTGGTCCGGGCCTACTAAACAACAATGACAACTAAAACAACAATAAAAAAGAAATCTCCAACTATTAAAAATAAAAAAAAAGTTATGTGTAAATATTTTAAAATTATTCTCATTTTAAATGCCTCAAGCCTTCAAGGAAACTTGACTACATACATATCAGTATATATACACATGTGAGTATGCATAAGCTGCTTTTCCTTGAACTTGATTTTCAGAGATTAATTTAAAATGAGGTACACATTTGTTTAGAAATAAGTGAATCATGACATTATTTTCTTGTGGCTCTTTGCATTTAGTAGTGAAATTGTGTAAGAGAAAAAAATTTGAATTAATTCCTGGAGGTAAAAATAACAAAAATGATATGATAGCTTAGTCATCTCGATAAAATAATCTTTATTTACTATTCAAATATAATATATAATATTAAAATTGTAACAGTAATAGTAACATCAGTTTACTTGTATTGTGTAATATGTTCTTACATCTCTCAGGTGTGATTGCCAATACTTTTTTGTTGTTGCTTCCCAAAGAATTTAAAGTATTCTTTGGCAGTCATGCAATTAGTGGCCAAACTTGACAACTGACCTCTTCATCTCATATTAAAAGTAATTTAGGGCAGCCAACTAGGTTCATATAGGCATACAGGGATAATAAGCCCAGTGTCTATGTGATTTGGAAGTCTTAATAGTATTTATCATAGCCATGGAATAGACTGAAAATTAGAATGAATGTCAATTAAAAAAATGAAACTTCATTTTTTTTATTGCCCTTGGTAGAGTGCTATGGTGTCACAGCTCACAGCAACCTCCAACTGCTGGGCTCAGGTGATTCTCTTGCCTCACCCTCCCGAGTAGCTGGGACTACAGGTGCCCGCCACAATGCCCAGCTATTTTGTTTTGTTGCAGTTTGGCCGGGGCTGGGTTTGAACCCGCCACCCTCGGTATATGGGGCCAGCGCCCTACTCACGAGCCACAGGCACCACCTGAAACTTCATTTTTTTGAAAAAGTGCATTTGTTAACACTGAATTCAACTTTGGCCTCAAACAAAGGATGTTGGAACAGATTTATCACAAATTAATGTGTATAATGTTCTATGCATAAAGACTATGCATGAAATCTCTTTGATCTTTGCTCCATTTTCAGTTAACAGGATTGTTAAACTTTGAAGACATTGACTACTTGTTTGCTCTTTAGCCGAAAGGTTTGCTTTTGTGGGATCATGTGTTAAATATGTAGTAGACAATGTTTGAATAAAGGCTATATTAGTATAGAGTTGAATCAAAAAATTTAAAAATACTTTGAATTGAATATATGCTGTTGGCCCAATTGTCTGTGAAATCATGTTTATTTCTACACATCTTCTGAGAGATAATACAATTCTCTAGATTAGGAATTAAGTGGTATTTTAGAAGAAAAGAATATGTGGTTTATTATTCATTGTTTAGTTATTGATAATAGTAACTACCCAGGTAAGTGTAAGCTCTCCCAGGCTAAGTGCATTTGTCAACTTGTTTGCATTTATAATTGCTACACATTAATTCAAATAACTAAGTAGAATTTGAAAAGCCCAATGAAGGCCTGGCACAGTGGCTCACTCTGGGAGGCCAAGGTGGGTGGATTGCCTGAGCTCACAGGTTGAAGACCAGCCTGAGCCAAAAAGAGACCTTCTCTCTGAAAATAGCTGGGCGTTGTGGCAGGCACTTGTAGTCCCAGCTACTTGAGAGGCTGAGGCAAGAGACTCTCTTGAGCCTAAGAGTTTGAGGAGGTTGCTGTGAGCTATGATGCCATGTCATTCTACCAAGGGTGACAAAGTGAGACTCTGTCTCCAAAAAAAAAAAGCCCAGTGAAATGCTTGAAAAATTTTCAGCTGATACAGGAATATCATGATCATTACCAATGGCATTATCACTTTGTTTAAAATCATTACAAAGTAACTTGGAAAAAGGACTGCCATCATACTTGCTGAGATAATATAGTTAGATACAGCTTAAATTATAATATATGTTCTTTATTAATATTAAACAAGGTTTAGACAGGATTACTCTGAAATTTTTCAGTTTTATAGTCTTTTTGCTCAGGATTCAAACTTCAGGAAAGTAGACATCAGTTGGTTTATTTTGAGTAATATGCTGTTCTCTTGATTAGGAAGAGTGGGTCCCTAAATTTTAGTTCTATGAGGAAGAAGTATAATAAAGTAAATTGTGTTACTGTTAGTAAGGGAAATGGATGCTGGTCAGGTGAAATCTAACGTATTGTCAGTGTTAGAACTTCTATATAGTCAACAGTAGTCCATTCAGAAAACAGTCATTGAGTGCCAATTTAGCAGCCTACACTGTTCTTTGTTTAGTATTGCTTATCTTAGAAGGTGAAGCAGTTGGGAAAAAAGAATGAATGCAAATTGTGAAACTAGTCAATGATTCTGCTATTGTCAAGTCAAAATAAAAATCTTTAACAAGTGTTGTTGATTTTTTTTTTTTTTGAGACAGAGTCTCACTTTGTCACCCTGGGTAAAGTATCATGGCATCATAGTTTATAGCAACCTCAAACTCTTAGGCCCAAACCATTCTCTCACCTCAGCCTCCCAAGTAGCTGGGACTACAAGTGCCCATGATAACGACTGGCTTTTTTTTTTTTTTTTCGGTTTTTGGCCGGGGCCAGGTTTGAACCCACCACCTCTGTTATATGGGGCTAGCACCCTCCTCCTTTGGGCCATAAGCGCCACCCAACGCCCAGCTATTTTTGGAGACAAGGTCTCTTGCTTATGCTGTTCTCTAACTCCTGAGCTCAGGCAGTCCACTCCTGAGAGTGCTGGGATTACAGCCGTGAGCCACCGCACCAGGTCTATTTCTTTTTAAGAGTTAAAGTTATATTTCTAAGTATCTTAAAAGTAGCTCCTTTAGTTGAAAGCAGTGAAGCCTTATAAGTAGGGTTCAATTTTTACCAATTGTGTCCTTAGTTTTTAGTAGACTTTTTTTTTGAGACAGAGCCTCAAGCTGTCCCCCTGGGTAGAGTGCCGTGGCATAGCTCACAGCAACCTCCAACTCCTGGGCTCAGGTGAGTCTCCTGCCTCCGCCTCCCAAGTAGCTGGGACCACAGGCGCCCGCCATAACGCCTGGCTATTTTTTTTTGGTTGCAGCCATCATTGTTGTTTGGCGGGCCCGGGCTGGATTCGAACCCGCCACCTTAGGTGTATGTGGCTGGCACCTTAGCCACTTGAGCCACAGACGACAAGCCAGTTTTTAGTAGACTTTTAACTATACTGTATTGCCTCCCTGTCCTTGGGAGATACTATTGTTATTTCATTTCCTAGTTTAGTGAGAAGGTACTATATTCATCAAAATTTCAATAAATTACCTGAGTTTTGATAATGAACATTGGAATTATGCTAGCAAATTGAAAGGACAAAGAATCAAAGCAGTGATTTAGATAGTCTTGATTATTCCGGTGATTTAGAGAAAAATATATAGTTCCCTAAGT